CATCATTATCATCATCATCATCATCATCATCATCATCATCTTCATCTTCATCATCATCATCACACAAACTGCATCTACAGCGTCAGTGTTTTAGGCTCATTTTCCTATCAAAATAACATTGGCTTCCAACCATCCTTTCAGTGTGGCTTGTCATTCCTGTTAAAAAAAATGAGCAACCGCTGTGGTAAATAATTGATATGCGAAGACAGTAACCACATTTTCCTGTCGTTTTTATTCCTTTCTCCTTCCCCTTTTCCATGACGCTGCTGTAATACGTTAGCCCCTCAAAGGTAAGGGGTATCCCATTAAGTATCTCATTAAATAATTAAATAAGTCCATTAAGTAAGTTAATCAATATAATCTACTGCTAGACCTATTCTTAGAGGACGTTTACTGCCAGTCCACACAAGAAAGATTCATGTATGATGGTAAAGTAATCAATGTTAGCCATGTCAGGTAACCCGTTGATAGATCCGTATTGATTGGGGTACTGTCACTGATGAATAGAAAAAAATGTCGTGCGGTTTGTCTTTCTGGGAAAAAAATGTATAAAACGAAGGCTGTTCTAAGGCTCATTACGTTTAGTCGTTCGTCTATTTAACCCAACTTTATAAATGTATCTATCTATATTGTAAGAACATTTGGATTTTTATTGTCGTACAAGTAAGAAGTTTGTCACTTCAGTTACCTCGGTTCAAAAAGTAGTGCGTGTAACGTTGGTTGATGTTTGATGTTCAATTAATAAAAATAATGCGTTGACTGACACGGGCACCCAGCAGTGAAATAAGTTATCGCTGCTACATATTTTCTTTTGCTTTAGACATTTCCGAAAATTACAAGTCCAGCCGCATTTTTTTTTTCACGTCAGACACGAAGGGGGTGGATCTGACTCCCCCTCCCCCCTCCCCCCCATCCATCCCTTGGTTGCCTCTGCTCGACTGATTCATAAATTTAATTATTTATTTTTTTCTATTTATTTATTTATTTATTAACATCGTCAGTAATTCTTTTTTCTTCCAAATGTTGACCATCAACTTGCAACACTGCATGTACTCCATCGATTTCAAGCTCGTGACATAATCAAATCATAACACCAATTGCTTTCATAACGAACAAAGACATTCAAGACAGCTTTTTTATATACACCCACCCTCATCCTAACTAAACAAACGCAAAAAAAACGTACAACATACAATTCCTGTTTCCTGCAATTTATTTATCATTACCATCCTTTTCTTTGCGTTCAAATACCAACACCTTAATTCCGTTTTCTTTTGAATATACATCCTCCCGCATCCTAATTAACCTAATGAAAAAAAAAAAAAACACGAAAACATACCACTCCTATTCCCAGTATTTTTTATCATTACCATCCTTTTTCTTGCGTTCCCATACCAACATCCTAACTTACCCAACGAAAAATGTAAACCACATCTATGCCTATTCCCCATATTCTATGCACTACCACCCTTATCACTGCGTTAAAATACCAACATCCTCATCCTGTTGCATTAAGTGGTGTTGGAAGAGGATGTCGTGAGGAGCGCAAAAGACGTCTCTCTGTTGCCGACACAAGGATGGTTGACTCTGGAGGACGTAGCGCGGAGGGTCGGCTTGGTCCCCGTCAGGAGGCTCATCACCGAGGACGTCCGTGAACTGTGGGAGAGTCTTGGTGACATCGAGTACGTAGAAAAAAAAAACATAAATCGTAGATAAAATAAATCAATCAAATTAATGATATATAAAAATGAAATAAATAAATAAATAAAATTGATTATATATGAAAATAAGATAAATAAATAAATAGAATAAATGAAATAAGCAAAATAAGCAAATAGAAGTAAATAAAAGAAAATAGATAAAATAAATTTAAAGAAATAAGAAATATAAATATTCATAAAAAAAAATTAAACAAATTGTGTGTTTGATGGTAATATGCACAAAGCTAGTCATTTCTCCTTTTGTTTTTGTTTTTTTGTTACTGTCTTTTCTGAAGATAGTATCCTTCAAAACAATCATGTCTTTATAATCCATATCTAAACACGTATAACATCTTTTTCAACAGAATTGGATGTCTAGTGGTGCTCGGCAGGTGCGCCATACGTCAAGCCGTCCAATTCGCGATCTTCAGAAAGCCGGTTCCAATATTCCACATTTCCTCCGACCCCTGCGACCACGAAGATTCTTTCAGTTGGCGGCTTCTTAAGGTGCGGAAAATCCAGTAAGGTTATAGAAGAGATAGTTTGAATAGGCAGATAGATAAATGTGTATATTCATTTATGAATGAATGGATGAATATATGTATGTATGCATGAATTCGTGCATGTATGTATATATATGTATATATATGTATGTATGTATATATATATATATATATATATATATATATATATATATATATATATATATATATATATATATATATATATACATATATATATATGACTGCCACGATAGCTCAGTGGTTAGAGCACTGGACTCCGACCCTCGTGGTCCCGAGTTCAATTCCTCGTCGCGGCAGTCGTAAAAATGCCTGCGCTCTGACTGCTACCTCGAGCCAGAGAAAACGACATATCGGCTTGAGAAGTCAACGCAGGTGTCGTAGGGGAAGTCACCGCCGTGACACAAGTGTTAACGCGCTGAACCGCGGTTGATTAGGATAGGTATTCAATTAGGCAAGGGTGACACCGCCATATAACCTCTCAATAGTGAATTGAGAGAGGCTTATGTCCTGCAGTGGAATGAATGGCTGTTAAAAAAAATAATAATAAAAAAAAAAATAAAAAAAAAAAAAAATATATATATATATATATATATATATATATATATATATATATATATATATATATATATATATATATATAAACATATATATATACATGCAGGATTTCATGCATGTATATATGTATGAATGAATTCATGGATGCATATATATATATATATATATATATATATATATATATATATATATATATATATATATATATATATATGTATATATATATAGATATATATATATATATGCATGTATGTATCAGTTCTAGCTAGCTAGCTATATAGATAGATAGATAGATAGATATAGATACATATGTGTATAGGGTGATGTGTGAATGGACTGTTCTGTCAACTGAAAAATATTCACTAAAAATCAAGGAGGTAGTTTAAATGTGAAACACGTAGGAAAATACACCTTCATCCCTGGGCGTTATGTGACATAGAGACCAGTATAGAAAAAGTTGAGTGGCTTCTTGATATGAGGAGTATTAAGAAATATAGATAGGTACATGATGGTTAGAACAAAATTCCTTCTATGGATATTTAAGCAATTTGCAAGGACAATACAAATATATTATTACTGTAATTTCTAGGTTTTTATTTTTGTTCTATACAGCAGACATATGAAGTATATTTTCCCATCACTAAACACACCAACGACGAAGACATTTTTTCACTAGCACAAACGACATTACATATTTATCCCAACACCCCATTAAATGATGCAACCTACCTGCCACACGCCACAAATTGAGACATAAATATAAACCATAACCATAATTGGAGGTCCCCGTATTTCACCTGAGTGGCGCGCAGGGACGACAGTTCAGCTTTTTCTTGGGAGGGGGGGCATGGGGGGGAGGGGTGACAGGCGAGCGAAGTGAACGAAAATTTTAGAAAAAAAAGCAGTTCTAGGGACACTTTCAAGCTGTAACCGGACCTATATAGGTGTAATTTAGTATAAAGATTTAAACATTGTGGTGGTGGCGGGGGGGGGGGGGGGGGGGGGGCAGATCTTGAGGGGGACAAACTGAGTCTTATGGGGAGGGGGGGGGGGGCGGTTGCAGTACAGGGATCTAATTGACGTTCTTGGTTGCGTGTCCTTCAACTGTAGGTTTTCGTTAGGCCTTCCATTTACAGATTATTGCCGTCGAGATTATTAAGGAGACTTAGTGATGTTTTTATGAGGATTTATATACATGCATATTGAATACAGGCATAGACCCAGTGACCCAGTGTGTTGTGATGTGTTTGTGTGTGTGCGTGCGTGCGTGTGTGTGTGTGTTAGTGTGTGTGTGTTTGTTAGTATGTGTGTGTTTTAGTGTGAGTGTGTGTGTGTGTTAGTGCATGTGTGTGTGTTAGTGTGTGTGTGTGTG